CTTAATTCTGATCAATGTCCTGTGATATTTATAGTTCCCAACTCACTTCTTCAACGTCTCCTACCGTATGCATGCAAATGATAACAAGTCTGATTTCTAGGAATAGGTGTATATAGTTGTATATCTTGTATACACATTACATTATATATAGTTATTATACTATATATTATATATAATTATTGTATTATATATATTATAGTTGTATATCTTGGATACATATTTTTCTAAAACCAATTTCAACAAGTGAAATTTGATCATGTGTGTTCATGAAGAGAGATTGTCAAATAAAAGACAAAGTTTTCATATTTTTAGTTTAAACTTTTCTGAGTCTCTCCAGCACTCAAAGCTGATCAGCTATGACATTTTCTTATATTGTACTATTACATAGCATATTATTAACCAGAGACTTCTGATCAGATTTCTATAAGACTTTGTCCAAATCTCATAGAAAGAGCATGGAACCAGAGTTTTCCTCTGGAGAAATTTTTAATTGACCTCTCACTTTTTTACAATTTTATAGTTACCATTTATAGAGATACAGTTAAGAGGACAGACTCAGCTTACTTCTGGAGGCTTCATTAATATTCACAAGACTTTCTTTTCCTTAGTTGATAGCCTGGGATCTTTAAATGTGACTATTTCTATACTAAGTTGTTCAAAGTCAGTCAAACCATTCATTCTCACATGGAATTAAATCCCAGCAAAGTGGGAATTTCTTCCACTGTTTGGCACTCATAATCTTATTATGGGAAGAAGGGAACATGCCATAAACATGGTGACAAGAATTTTCTGTTTGCCTGAGTCATGTTTTAGCAGCCTAATCAAAATACAACAAGCAATAATTATTAGTTACAATACCATCAACACTTCATATCCTGATTGGTAAGAAAAGCCTCATTAATGACAATGTAAATTGTTATAAGAGAAAGCATGCTAATAGACACCACTTTTGCCTGGTGGCATACTCACCCTCCAGATGCCCCCCTGGCCCCAAGGTTGATGCCATCAGCTTTCCTCCAGGTGGATGTGGGTGGAAGGGATGCAGCAAACTGCCACCATCCTGAGGGCTTCTCCAGATGGTCACAGTGTTGCAGTGGGTCACTGAATCCTCACTGGCAGGTTTGTGTGGGTTTATCTTTGTGCATTTCCTCCTCCCAATGCCCAGGGAAGGTCTGCAAACTGCACCAACATCTTTCCAGCCCCTGGGAACCCTCCAGGATGCTGCTGCCTAGAGGCAGCCCATAGGGATCAGCCCCCACTCCTCATACACAGTGCTTCTGTAGCCAGTGCCAGGAAGAGAGGTCACAGCCACAGACCATGTCGAGACCCTGCCATTGTTTAATGCAAAGCTTTTTGCAAACGACAACAAATCTTGTTCACTGGGCGACACTGCTCACCACAAATATATCCTTTATTCACTTTATTGATTCATATTTCTTTGTTTTGATTTCCTTGATACATTACTTCTTGCAAACCAGTTGTGCCTTTGAATTAATTTCACCACTGCTAGTCACTAGTCATGCTAAATCCCACCATCTACCTAGGTCTTCCTGGACTACTGAAAACACTATAAGCAAATTACCATGATCCTTTCAACATTAAAGTATTAAAGAAACTGGGCAACGATAGCTTTTTTTGTTTTTCTTCCTTCTCTCCAGCCAAAGCTGAACTATGTGTGGGACAGGGTGTTTATGCAGAGGGACAGCATGGGTGAGCCACTTGTGACCTGCCAACAACAGGACAACAGACAGAGCTATTTATTCTACTGCCAGGCTTAGTTCTCTTCATTTCCACTGTACTGCAAGTATATACATTTACCCTGGGATGAATAAATTATCTGACTCACAGTATATTACAATTGAAAGGGGAGTATCTAATTGCTGGAAAGCAGATGGTGTTACCCTTTTGATTATGCCTGACAACAACAAAAAAAAATTACTGGCCTGCAGCCATATTCCCAAAGCCATATTCCCATTGTCAAATTCCATCAGCCAGGGAAATTTGGATATGATGACAGGCCAGTAACAGAATTTTTCAAGGGGAAAAAAAAAAAAAAGACCAAAAAAAAACAACCCCAAAACTAAACTAAACCCATTGCCTTTTATTTTTTCATAGTATGATAGAATCATAGAATAGTTAGGGTTGGAAAGGACCTTAAGATCATCTAGTTCCAACACCCCTTCATGGGCAGGGACATCTCACACTAAACCATATCACCCAACGCCTCGTCCAACCTGGCCTTGAACACTGCCAGGGATGGAGCATTTGCAACCTCCCTGGGCAACCCATTCCAGTGACTCACCACCCTCACAGGAAAGAATTTCCTCCTTATATCCAATCTAAACTTCCCCTGTTTAAGTTTTAACCAGTTACAACTTGTCCTATCACTACAGTCCCTAATGAAGAGTCCCTCCCCAGCATCCCTATAGGCCCCCTTCAGATACTGGAAGACTGCTATGAGGTCTCCACGCAGCCTTCTCTTCTCCAGGCTGAACAGCCCCAACTTTCTCAGCCTCTCTTCATACGGGAGGTGCTCCAGTGCCCTGATCATCCTCGTGGCCCTACTCTGGACTTGTTCCAACAGTTCCATGTCCTTTTTATGTTGAGGACACCAGAATTGCACACAATACTCCAGGTGAGGTCTCATGAGAGCAGAGTAGAGGGGCAGGATCACCTCCTTCGACCTGCTGGTCACGTTCCTTTTTATGCAGCCCAGGATACGGTTGGCTTTCCAGGCTGCAAGCGCACACTGAAGCCCGCCCATGTTCATTTTCTCATCAACCAACACCCCCGTCCTTCTCTGCAGGGCTGCTCTGAATCTCTTCTCTGCCCAAGCTGTAGCTGTGCCTGGGATTGCTCTGACCCAGGTGTAGGACTTTGCACTTCTCATGGCTAAACTTCATGAGGTTGGCATCAGCCCACCCCACAAGCATGTCAAGGTCCCTCTGGATGGCATTCCTTCCCTCCAGGGTATCAACTGAACCACACAGCTTGGTGTCATCGGCAAACTTGCTGAGGGTGCACTCAATCCCACTGTCCATGTCAGCGATGAAGATGTTAAACAAGTCCAGTCCCAACAACGAGGGACACCACTCATTACTGGCCTCCAGCTGGACATTGAGCCATTGACCACAGCTCTTTGTGTGCAGCCATCCAGCCAGTTCTTTATCCACCAAGTGGTCCATCCATCAAATTGATGTCTCTCCAATTTAGAGACAAGGATTTTGTGTGGGACAGTGTCAAATGCTTGTTGAACACTTTTTGTACTAGTTTAGCCTCATCTACATACCATGAAGGAAAAGAAGAATTTGCACCCTTCCAGTCTTTCTTGCTTTTGATTTCAGTTTATCCATAGCTGTGTAGATTATCACTATTACTTCAACCTTCCTTTTTTTGGTTGCAAATATTTTGATTATTTTTATCCATAAGTAATTCATTGGCAATATAAGAAAACCAACAGAGCCTTTTAATGAGAAACTGGGTTAAAAATAATGTGTCAAAATATGCAAAGTGTTCTTGTAGGTTTCTCTGAGCTATATCAATATATTAACTTATTTGAAAATAAACATCTCCAAAGGAATAACTTTAGAATATGCTACTCTTTTTATACTTCTGTTAAATGTTGGCAATGACATTGAAAAGTACATAAAATGGTCAGACATTACATAGGTGAATGATGGCAAATCAAAAAATTGAATTTGTAATGGGGAACATAAATGACTTAAAGTTGTAACCACAAAAATTGTTGAAACAGGAAAAGCTGACATAATCTTTTTACAAGAAATTCACTTAAGAGAACAAGATGCTATCAGCATAGGAACACCTTCGATATGAGGGAGTCAGCAAAAAACTTTTCGCAAAAAGAGGGAGTTCTTTCAAAATACTTGGTAATTTATATATCTGACATAAAGGAGATTTTTTGACTGTTAAATTTATACAGCCTAGTTTTTATTAACATGTATGGACTTAATTCAAATATAGCCTCTTTCACAGTACAGGTTACTATTTAACAGCATGACAAATGTTCCCATGGAATGCACAGCTTATGGACAACCTTCCTGGTCGTTCTGCATATAAGTCTGCACATGAGTTTCTGGCAGAGTTCTGATCTCCATAAGAAGTGTCAGGCACACCGATATGCAGTTAACTGTTTATTTTGTTGGCACTAAGTCTTAGAAATGGATTAATTCTTGTATTTGAGAGCCGCATAGCCTGCTCAGAAAGCTCTAGCAACCTGTGCTCAGAGCTTTGTTTCCCCCTTTCTTTGCCCTCCCCTGCATACCTCCATGCCTTTGGTGAAAGTGCCCCTTTCCTCCACATTGCACAGGAGATGTCGGCACAGGTGAAGGCTGTTTTCTGGTATGACTTGTCCCCTCCTCTCTGTTACACAGGTAATAGAAGCTACTATCAGTTTGATATATTAGTGCAGCATTAGTGGTTTACAGGCTTCTCCGAGGGCGTAGGATATGATTAAAGGCAAGGAAGAAGGACAGAGACAGGAATCCTTGTCAGTGCTCTTCAAGCAAAGGAGTTGTTAAGGCTCCTGACTCCTTGAAATTAATCTGACAGGAAGAACTGGAAATAGCCCAGCCAGATCTATCCGTGTGCAGTCTCAGGAAACACAGGAGCACACTGTAGCCTTTGCTGTCAAACACAGTTTATTTAAACAGGGCCACTTGTGTGAAGCAACACTCCCTCAAAGTAATAATCCTGCTGAAGTGAAATATTCCCCTCCTGGGGAAAAATATTCTACATTAATAACAGCAGCAAAACGAAGCCCAGAATCATTCCAGAAGGCACATTGTCCCCAGCATAATCTCTGTGTCATTTTAGCCCTGACTGAGAACTCTCAGAAAGGTAGTCAGAGATTCCCCCAGGTCATGGACCAAGGGTACAGTTCTGATAGAGCCAACCCAGCCTCGGCATCTAAACCTTCCTCTGGCTATCGTGAGCTCCTTCCCCTGCATCTGGCACGTCACCTGCACTGGTGACGTATTTAAATACTTACCTGGCAGGGGAGACACCATGATCAAGTAGGTGGTTTTCCCAGGGCAAGGCTCATCCCTTGCACTCCGGGTGTGCTGACCCCTGCGATTTCCCCAAATGCGGGAAACTCGACTTTTTTTTTTTTTTTTTTTTTTTACCACCAGATCAGGGTGAGGAAGTTGACGAGGCCTTCTACAGGCAGCTGAGAGTGGCCTCACAGTCACAGGCTGTGGTCGTCGTGGGGGATTTTAACTTCCCTGATGTTTGCTGGAAGGACCACTCGGCAACCCAGCCACAGTCCAGGAGGTTCCTCCAGTGTATGGATGATAACTTCCTCCTGCAAATGGTGGATGAGCCGACCAGGAGAGGAGCGCTGCTGGATCTCATCCTCACTAACAAGGAGGATCTAGTTGAAGCAGTAAGGGTTGAGGGCTGCCTTGGTTGCAACGACCACAAGATGGTGGAGTTCAGGATCTTGTGTGGTAGGACAAGTAGAATACCAAGTAGAATTGCAACCCTGGACTTTAGCAGGGCAAATTTTGGCCTTTTCAAGCAATTGCTAGGGGAAATCCCATGGGCAAGGCTGCTTGAAGGTAAAGGGGCCCAAGATCGTTGGTTGACATTCAAGGACTGCTTTTTCCATGCTCAAGATCGGAGCATCCCAACACGTAGGAAGTCAAGGAAGAGGGCTAGGAGACCTGTGTGGCTAAATAGGGAATTGCTGGGTATGCTCAAGTGGAAGAGGAGAGTTTACAGGTCATGGAAGGAGGGGCTGGCCACTTGGGAGGAATATAAGGCTGCTGCTAGAGGATGTAGGAAGACAGCTAGGAGGACTAAGGCATCCTTAGAATTAAACCTGGCAAGAAGGGTCAAGGACAGCAAAAAGAGCTTTTTCAAATACATGGCAGACAAAACTAACACCAGAGGCAATGTAGGCCCACTGATGAACGGGATGGGGGCCCTGGTGACAGAAGATACAGAGATGGCAGAGTTACTGAATGCCTTCTTTGTCTCTGTCTACTCTGCTGCAGGCAGTCCTGAAGAGCCCTGTACCCCTGAGACCTTAGATGAAGTCAGGTCAACGGAGCGGTTTGCCTTAGTCGATGAGGAATGGGTTAGAGACCAGTTGAGCAATCTGGACATCCATAAATCCATGGGTCCAGATGGGATGCACCCGTGGGTGCTGAGGGAACTGGCGGAAGTCATTGCTAGACCACTCTCCATCATCTTTACCAAGTCTTGGGAAACAGGAGAGGTGCCTGAGGACTGGAGGAAAGCAAATGTCACTCCAGTCTTCAAAAAGGGCAAGAAGGAGGACCCGGGTAACTATAGACCGGTCAGCCTCACCTCCATCCCTGGGAAAGTGATGGAACACCTTGTCCTTGGTGCCATCTTAAGGCATATCAAGGATAAGAGGGTTATGAGGGGCAGTCAACATGGCTTCACCAGGGGGAAATCATGTTTGACCAATCTCTTAGCCTTTTATGAGGAAATAACACGGTGGATGGATGATGGCAGAGTGATGGATGTAGTCTACCTTGACTTCAGCAAAGCATTTGACACAGTCTCCCACAGCATCCTCACAGCTAAATTGAAGAAGTGTGGACTGGATGATCAGGTAGTGAGGTGGACTGCGAACTGGCTGAAGGAGAGAAGCCAGAGAGTTGTAGTCTATGGGGCTGAGTCTAGTTGGAGGCCTGTAACTAGTGGAGTGCCTCAAGGGTCAGTACTGGGACCAGTATTATTTAATATATTCATCAACGATTTAGATGAGGGAATTGAGTGTACTATCAGCAAGTTTGCTGATGACACTAAGCTGGGAGGAGTGGCTGACACGCCAGAAGGCTGTGCTGCCATCCAGCCAGACCTGGACAGGCTGGAGAGTTGGGCAGAGAATAACTTGATGAAATATAACAAGGGAAAGTGTAGAGTCCTGCATCTGGGCAGGAACAACCCCAGGATCCAGTATAGGTTGGGAAACGACCTGTTAGAGAGCAGTGTAGGGGAGAGGGACCTGGGGGTCCTAGTGGACGACAGGATGACCATGAGCCAACACTGTGCCCTTGTGGCTAAGAAGGCCAATGGCATCCTGGGGTGTATTAGAAGGGGGGTGGTTAGTAGGTCGAGAGAGGTCCTCCTTCCCCTCTACTCTGCCCTGGTGAGACCCCATCTGGAATATTGTGTCCAGTTCTGGGCCCCGCAGTTCAAGAAGGACAGGGAGCTGCTGGAGAGAGTCCAGCGCAGGGCAACAAAGATGATTAGGGGAGTGGAGCATCTCCCTTATGAGGAAAGACTGAGGGAGCTGGGTCTCTAGTTTGGAGGAGACTGAGGGGTGACCTTATTAGTGTCTATAAATATATAAAGGGGGAGTGTCACAAGGATGGAGCCAGGCTCTACTCAGTGGCAAACAATGATAGGACAAGGGGTAATGGGTACAAACTGGAGCACAAGAGGTTCCACTTAAACTTGAGAAGAAAGTTCTTCTCAGTGAGGGTGACGGAACACTGGAACAGGCTGCCCAGGGAGGTTGTGGAGTCTCCTTCCCTGGAAACATTCAAAACCCGCCTGGACACATTCCTGTGTCACATTATCTAGGTGTTCCTGCTCCGGCAGGGGGATTGGACTAGATGATCTTTTGAGGTCCCTTCCAATCTCTAGCATACTGTGATACTGTGATACTGTGATACTGTGCCTGGTTTTTATCGTTCCCTGCTCAATAGAAAGCTATCCCAACACAGTTAGAATGAGAAGTGACTGACTTTGTGCTTTAGTATTCTGAAGTAGGACACCCTTGTACAGCTGGAAGTGCAGATTCTGAGGATGTGCCAGAAAACTGCAAGACAAAAAGGGAAAAAGACAAAACAAAACAAAACAAATAAAAAGGAGATATAAAAAGAAAAGGTTTCTGGTCCAGCATTTGCTTTCGCATAGAACACTCTATTCCTCTCCCCCCCCATCTTATTTTCCTGAAGTATAATCACATATTACACAAGGAAATAATACAGAAATTCTGCAAGGTGATTAACATGTTATACTATGGTGAATATAATACCATGAAATTTTTGTGAGTAAATATGCATCATTTCCCATTTAACACTTTTTAAATGTCCTTGGTCATCAGACCAATAGAATGAATGCTTATATGCTTCTACTCAGTTCATTTAGAAGATTTTTGTTCCTTTTCCTGTTTAAAACATACAGACAATAAAAAGAACTATACATTTCTAGAGGAAGATGTCCCTTTCTTATTCTCTGAAGTCAACTCACCTAAATAACTTTGCACAAGTCCTGCTAAGAGGAAATTCTCTAGCCCTGGCATTAGCTGATAGTTTTTGCTAAGTAACATCAGACTGTAGTATGGTGTCCTGATAATATGTCAGGAGCAATGACATTAATAGGCCATGATGCCGTTCAAATTCATTTTATAAATATTTTTAATAGCACTGAGGCAATTCTGCTGAGCCTTGGCTAATAAAGTATTTCATTATTTCAGGACATTACTGGTATTTTATTAGCTAGGCAAGTAAGCTACTTCAATTTTAAAAAATGTTGATCAGGAGAACTTTCAGCTAGTATTGTCTTTTTCAGGTCCATCCAACATAATGACTGCTCTTTAAAGGGCAAAACACCAGCCAGGTCCTTTCTAAGCACTCTATCTTGAATTGCAGCAAGTGCTTCACCCACATTTTAAGCATCCGTAGGGGTGCTTAGTTGAGCCAGCAGCTCAGGCAGTACAAAAATCCATCTTCCTTGCTTTCATGAATGTATTTTCTCAGGCCTCTTTTCCCTCACCTTGCACACTGGGGCTGGTGCAAGGTGCCCCTCTGAACAGTCAAACTGGGTGATCTGTGTGCCTCTAAGTGTTGAACCCTTGCCAGATAAAATGCCAACAAGAAGACAGTAGTCTTATCTTTAAGGGAAAAGTGATGAAATTCAGAGGAAGAAGCAAGCTTGAAGGGCTGGGTTCTTTTTAGTTTTAAGCATGGTGCATGTCATGAGTTTTAGCTTAATGAAAAAAACTCCAAATACTCAAAATTAAGATGGCAATTTGACATGAACCCATGGGACTATTTTTACCTTTTGAGTCAAGTATTTGACATCCACCCAAGTTCACACTGAATAACCATTTGCACTGTTTACACACAAGCATGCAATCAGTGCAAACTCTAGAGAAGAAAACTCAAATCATAGATTTATCTCTTCTATATTCTGTGCAGAGAACAGGTATCACAGCCTTGCCCACAAGGGGATATCACTGTGCTCAAACACATCTAATAACCTGAATACAAACATGCAGGTCATCAGTCTGGCATACCATTGCCAGATTTCATTTTTAACTCAGCATGGATACTGACAGAGGGTCCTCTTTGTTTATACAGAGAAAAAGAAAAAATATGTGGGAGGAAAACTGTAGTCTGTAAATTCCAGCTAGGGCTCCAGACATATAACTAACATTCCAGAAAATCAAGTTTTACTTTGAGTAATGATTACTTATATTTGCTAATACTGCAGTTGCAAATCATCACAACATTTCAGTCATTCACACTTATACAATAGCTACTGCAGATTAAAAAGAAAACAAATAATCATTCTTCAGTTCTAAAAATTGCAAGATGGCAAATATTATTAAAATTTATTTATAAATATCCATTTAAATAAAAGCAATGCATCCACTTCAGTGGAATTTCTAAACTGTTTTATTCATTTCTTATGAGTAATAAGGTTAGAAAGAATTGATTTGTCATAAACTCAACAGAAAGAAATCACATAATGTGAATACCCACATAAAAAAATATTAGCCATAAAAATAATCAATCTTTGAAGTCCTTGTTTTGCTATAAGGGCAACTGACCATTGGCACAGGTTGCCCAGACTGTGGAGTCTTCATCCTTGGAGATATTCAGTGACTTGAGAAACCTGCTATGGGTGGGGTCCTACTTGACCAGGGGCAGGGGGGAGGGACTGACAAAGTGACTTCCAGATGTCCTTTCCATCCTCAACCATTCTGTCATTTGCTATTAATTATTTTAAAGCAGCTGTGTTGCTTAAGAACACACAGAGAGTAAGAATAAAAAAATAAGTTAGTTCTGCTCTGGATCTAAAAGTGCACTATAAGGTCAACTTTCAAAGGGCTCTTTCCCCAAGAGTGTTATCAACACTATACACACCCAAATGCCAATT